GCATCTTTGATCGTGTCAATAATTTTTTGTAAGATTTTTTTCTTAAAACTGTATTACACCTTCAACTCCTTTCTTAGTTTTACTCTAGGTTTAATGTTTTCTCTAAAAACAAAAATGTAAACGACACAAAAATTAATACCATCAATTAGCTCATATAAATGAATTTTATTTACTTTAAACTAAAGACTTTCTGTCTCTGGAATACTAGGCCCCAGCAGAAGTGAACAATATCTTCAATTTGCATCTACAAGACAACACTTGCCTATACTAAGCCTATCTTGATTTATTGAAAATTAAGCAATTAGATTTAGGAAAATACTCTAAAATATCATACATTTTCTCAACTCATTCAGTCCAACAAAGTGGTAACTAATGTCCGAGGGAGTTATGAAATGCTAAACTAATGTGTATACTAATTCCAGAGGGGCCAAATATACAACCTTCGCTGGAAACAAATATGTTTTCAGAGTTCTTTATAGACCCTCTTCTTCTTCTTCACTTCCTCTTTTACCGCTGTGGGTGTCGAGGGAGATATAAGGTTCTGTCTCTAGCTCTTCTGGCTGCCTCGACCATAGGCACATCATGCTGTTGTAGAGTTTCTCTGATGTTATCCTTCCATATTGTTCTTGATCTACCTCGTGCTCTACGTCCTTTGTCTCTTTTCATGTATGCTTTGTATGGTATGGTGTCACAAGGCATTCTCTCTAAGTGGGCAAAACATTTCACTATAGGCTCTCACTAATCTTAAGATGTAAAAAAACATAAATGTTATGATGATTGGTAAACATGAATAATACCCAGTCATGCACTGTGCGTTGTTTGGGACAGAATGAGTTATTACCCTTGTTTTTATTTTCATCCTAAAGGTTGTCACCAACATCATTGATCTGTTGGGCTATTAAATGTCACACAGGGCTTGCAGTCTATTCCTCCCATCTGTTCTATCCTTTGCAATAATTCTGACATCATGGATGGAAGTCAGCCCAGCCATCCTGGCTTTTCAAATCAACGTTCATTTTAGGATTTCTTTTAGACATGCGATTCCTGAATCCTTTTATTTCCCATTGCAGTGCCCCCTCTGTGATTCTCTGCTCGTTTCTTCTCAGAATGTGTCCAATAATACTGCCATCTTTCTTGTCTTATAACTGTTGCTACCAGTGGCTGCCCAGACATTTCTCTTTTTTTCTTCATCCCTATTGAAATCATTCCGTTTTATTTTAAGATTTTCTTGAGGTATTTGTTTTCAAATGCATTTAACTTTCATTCCATGTCTTTAAGTTGAGTTGAGCTGAGTCAAGAATTGACATCACAGAACTCGAAGAATCCCTATAAGTGCTCTGTCCCCATCCTAAGCAGACTGTGCAGAGTTCCAATTCTAATGGTGCTAGTCATAATCTGGTTGTATGTCTGTCTTCCCTTTCCTCTGAGCGTAGTGTGTCGGCCGAAACTCTGGTCACACCCAGGTGCATCATTCTTTACAGCCCAAAGGGCTCTGACCACATCTGCCTTGTCATGTATCAATTCAACATACAGTGGTGCAGATCCAGCCAATCTGTCTGCCTGTTCATTTCCCACCACATCCTGTCTTTAGTGGTTCTCCAACTTTCACTACCAAGCGTTAAAACTGAAATAACATTAGAAATGAAAATATGTAACTAGGTCTTAAAACTATACAACTTAGAGTTCCCTATTTCGTTCAGGCTTTTAAAAGCTGCTGATGCCTCGTGAATGCATGTCATAATTTCTTTCTCTATATCTCCTTGACTATCAAAATTACGACTAAAAGGCCGTTATAGCAGATACTACCAAGAGAGTCTCAGGTGTAAGCCGTCACAGATCTAGGTCTCAACATAAGAGGTCGGGTGACCGGTCTCCTTCCTCATCACTTTCACTTTCCAGAAAATTAACCAATAGCCATTTTTATGAGGTTTGATCGACTCAAAGTCACACTGACTGAAAACATTCTGGAGACTGAACTTAAAACAACTTCCCATTTCTTATCATAATGCTACAAGATGAAAATATTAAATTACGACTACAGATCGATAGTGTTTTAATATACAAGCAGGTCTGTAGCCAATATCAATTTATATTTATAAACATTTAATTCTTTTTCTTCTTCTTTTGTTCGCTTAAAATAGACTATCTATATCTGCAAAGTTGTCTCAAGTATGAACTTCAGTGTCCGTTGAAATTAAATTGGCAATTCGTAAAGTTTAATTTTAGATTCAGATTCACACATCTAACAATATTAAATATAGATTTACTCACTCTAAAAACACCAAATGCAGATACATCCATATTCTATAGATAGTAAATTAAATGCATGAATATGTATTGTATTTTATTACCCACTAAAACAGACATAACCCCAATGGTGATATTCATAATAATGTGCATTAATTCAAAGAAACATACAATATACATATAATATATTACTTCACACACAAAAAAAATGAACACTGACTGAGATTCCATTTCATCAGAAAAGCACTGTCATTATAGCCACCGAGGATGAATTATCCCATATCATAAAGTGCCTTACCAACTAGCATTGGTGATCATGTTTCTTCACTTCTTGTAACCTCAAAAAGATTATTACAATGCGTGTGCTGACTCCCCATACGGGTTCTGGGCTCCTATTTTAGGGGGAAAAAGAATAGACCTACTGCCCTCCCAACAAGTGCCTCATAGAATTTGACTCATTAAAGGTGTTACCTTCAAAGTCAGAATTTGTCTGAAAAGCGAGGAACCAACAGTCTGCAAACAAAAAAGCCAGATCTGTAAAACAAATGTGCATGCAAAACTTAGGTTCTTGAACAAGATTAAAGTCCAGAAGTGGATGAACAACCAGAACTTTCTGCTAAAGTTTACAGGCAGTGAATGCAAGGAGATGACAAAGGTGTGTGCTAACCCACTTCTATGCCACAATAAAAAGATGTCAAGAAAGTTCTGTCATGGGCTTCCTTTATTTCCATAAATCTTTCCAGCTGTTTTTCATTTGTACACTTTTTATAACGCAGTACACATGATTTCACTAATTTGAAACATAATGCAATAATTAGCTTCTCCTTCTAGTCAGTGTCAAATCCTGAAACTACAATTTTTGTCATATGTACAAAAAATCAACAGTTCTCCCATGCTCCTAACAGTATTTGAAGTATTTAAATAAAAGAAACAGCAAAGACTGGGGTTCTGCAGTTAAATAACAAAAACATATTATTTTGTGTCTGTTCTTCCCAATTATAAGACCCTTCTAATTCTACCAGCTAACTCAAAAGTACATAACAGTAAAAATGTAAATCTAGATGAACAATTAAAAGAAACATCTAAACAAATGCAGACAACACTAATATGAAACATATATATATTTCAGCATTTCATAATTTTTCTTTTGTTCTGTACCACAAGTGGTCATAAATGCGAACTTATCTATTTCAACTTTCAACTCCAAACAACTGTTACTTTGCATATCTCAGTCATTTGTTACTTAAAGATGTGTATCATAGTATAAGACAAAGAAAATGACACTATACTGGGCACATATGAGGAGAAACAAACAGAGAACCATCAAACAGGCAGTGAAATGGGAGAGAGGGAGAATGAACAGAGGATGTCCAAGAAAAACCCTGAGATGAACATTGATGAGAGGCCATTGGCAATGGACTGGATTCCATCCATATCAAAAGGATTGCACAGGACAGAGCGGAATGGATGACTGGACTGCAAGCCTTATATATTGTACAATGGCACAATAGGGTGATGGTTAATGTATCATATACTTGAATGTCAGAGACTTATTTATAATATTACTGGTCAAGGGGTGTTAAGTGATGTTAGGGATATAGCGGGTTTGTGTAGAAACAAGCTGAAACTGAAGTAAAAGGTCATTTTCCCACCTTACAGAGCTTGCACTTTATGCCCGATGTGCTGCTTTAAGGTGTGATGTTGTATGATGTTGATTGCATTTAACATAATATAACATCACATCTTGATGCACATCGGGCATGGAGCAAGCACCTGTTTTTTTAAGACCACTGTACTACGGTTACAAAAACCAGGGACTGAAAGAGTTAAATATCTGATGTCACATTATTAATGGAGAAATTTACATGTTGGCGTCATGGAAACATGAACAAATGTACAGCAGTAACAGTGATGCGTGAGCATAATGATTCAGACAGGCACATTTTCGTTGTGAAGCCAAATGTGACATTTTTATGATGTTGTGGCTTCACCAGTATACAAGCAGGCAATGCAAATTTTAACCTATTAACCTCCAGGAGAAAGTAGTTCTGTTGTTTGACTCACTCTGAATACAGGTATTGCCTGGGGTCTCACTGGAGACACAGAGCTTGTGCTCTGTGTAACACATTCTGCAGGTTGCTTTGTACAGAGACTAAGATATTTAAAAAAAACCTGGTGCAATGAAAGTTCAACTTTAATTTACGTACATTTGCTAGCCACAGATGAGACTATATTTTCACAAAGAGAGATGCCCTACTGATTATTTTTAATAAAGTATCCAAGACATTTGGTATTATTTCTGATAACTGTAAATAATTATTGTTTAGATTATAAATACCTTACCCATGAACTTGGGTATTATCAGTTTTTTAGGTAGTTTCAACAGTTAACGATGCTACGGCTTTACAACAAATAATATAAAAAAATTATAATTATATTAAAGTTCTTGCTATGTTCACATTCTTGAATTATATAATTTATTATCAGTTATATGGTGACAAGATAACACCAGTATAATTCACTGCTTCCTTCACAGAAGCATCTATAACATTACTGTAGTTGAAATCACCACTTTTTTATAGTGATCATGGTAAATAGGAAATTTCACAAATATTAACCAAAACAGAAGATACAAACAGTTCAGAAATATCATCATTAACTCCAATAAACATTTCTCTTGATTTACATTAATACTTGTCATGCCATATTTACAATGAAGGTGCAGCCCATCTGGCTTAAACAGACCATCTGGCTTAAACAAACTCATGCTCCATGAGTCGTTTTCTGTCATCTTTAGGATTCAGCGCTTTGGCTCCAAAGAACTGATAAGAACAAGAGAGAAAGATCAAATCATTAAACTCATTATACAGAAAGATAATTATTTTGACAATGTTTAATTAAACATAAGAGGTAAAGAGAAAACTTGCCTGCTGCTCCAAGGATGTGGGTTCAATCCCAGATGGGCATGATTTAAGTTCTAACAGCTCTGGGGTTAATCCCAATTGTCCTGAAATCCCATGCTTTAACTGTGGAAGACTGCTTAATTGAGTGGGTCTTACTGGGTTGTGATTCCCATGACTCCATCTAGATCAATATAACACTATCATCCGAAAAGAATGAAAGTTGCCAACAACAACAACAGCTCTGGGGTTGACCAGGCATCATAAAACTGGGTCCAGATCATTTCTAGAACTTTCTGGGGAGAAAATAATGAGCTAGGGAACTGACCACCACTCCTCTGACGATACCTCCTCATGTGATGATTGCCCGTGTCTGCAGAAGGTAGTGCAGGATGAAGTATGGACAAGGCAGGCATACTGAATCTGCTGGGTTCCAGAGAGTCTGAGACTCAGAGACAATGACCTGCTTGTTGGAAATGGGTACTAAATGAGAACAAGCATGCAAAAACCAGTTAAAGGGCAATTACAGAAGATATGACAGTCAACTCCTACTGGGTACTTTTAGCATGGAGACAGTAAGATGGCTGCTGCATTTGAGGATGGAGCATGAATGGATCGGACCAATGTGCTGGGATTTTTACAAGTAACAACTATCATATGTTGGCTTGCCTGTATGTTGCCTAGAATGTGTGAAGGCTGCATACTTCACATCCCAATGGCAGTTTATCTGCTACAGGACTACCTTCACTGTAGAAAGTAAACAGATGCCAACAACAGAAACCTTTCTCATTCTAACTACAATCACTAAACCATAGTACTACAGCTGACAAAACACTGGATTGTCAGAACAGCAGTCTTGAGTTCAATGTTGAATTAGGAATCGACATCACAGCACTCGGGGAACTCCTATAAGTGCTCCGTCCTCCATTTTCAGCAGCAAGCGAAGAGTTCCAATTCTGATGTTACCTGTAACTGTTTGACTGTACCTCTGTCTCGCCTTTCCCCTGAGTTTTGAGCTCTGGCCAGATCTCCTGGTAACTTCCCCCAGCGCCATTCTCCTCAGACCGTAATGATTTGTGCCTCTGCACTGTTCACTCGTTCCCAAAAGGGCTCTTTGTCATACATCAATTCACCACCAAGTGGTGCAGAGCCGGCCAGTCTTTCTCCTCATTTCCCAACACACCTGCATAACCAGGAGAAAATATTTAAAGGACACTAACTACCTGAGACCTCTGAAGTGATGCTTGACCGTCTAGTGTGATGCATCATTTTTAACCACACTGTTGCGATCAAGGCAACATCACACAATGTTGACCAGAGATTTTTCCCAGAAGAAATGCTCAGGAGAAGGGAAGCATCACCTCCTATTATAAAGATGTGACTTATTCACTTAATATAAGTGAAACTGTCTCCTTTCGCTCATCTATACATCATGTGGGATTACTTTTACTTGTTAGCAAAATTTTGCCACAAAAGTGGTCAAAAAGTGGTCAATGGAAGAATAGTGGTCAGTGGGAGAACAATGGTCAATGGGAGAATAGTGGTCAATGGAAGAATAGTGGTAAATGGAAGAATAGTGGTCATTGGAAGAATAGTGATCAATGGAAGAATAGTGGTCAATGGAAGAATAGTGGTCAATGGGAGAATAGTGGTCAATGGAAGAATAGTGGTCAATGGAAGAATAGTGGTCATTGGAAGAATAGTGATCAATGGAAGAATAGTGGTCAATGGAAGAACAGTGGTCAGTGTTTGATTACTAATTACAGTAATCTGAGGTTCAAATTTCAAGTCCCCATGTGTGGATTCTAGGGTTAATGTGGGGCGGGGGGTAAGAGGGGATTTAGACCCACTGCCCCTCTACCAAGCACGTCGTAAACAGTGACTAATTAGGGGTTTACTAACATTCAGATTTGTTAGGCCAATAGGTACAGATATCCCAGCCCAGCTGTAAACCACAACACACCCTTTTAAATGTGACTGCAAAAGAAAACATGTCCAGCTGTACCAGTCAAGACATAAAGGGCCATTTTTCTATGCCATACTGTGATAGGAATATCAGCGCTCAATGAGTGTTGTGATCAATATCATGGCTGCCATCTTTGCTGCTCAAGACATTTCATAGCAGCTACTCTAGGCAATGTCCACCCGGGATGATATCAACAAACTGTATGTGGATTCAAAACCGTGACAACTGTTCCAGTAGGCATGTGTGCTAGCCCCAGCTTCCAATGTTAACCTACAAGTGGAATCTATTTTGTGGCACAGAATAAACTACTTAATAACAGACTGCAAATATGGCATCCTAGTGCTTCATTTGATAGCAGTTCCACTACCGTTTTGTTGAACTATTTTGGTACCAAAGAAATGCATAATACATTTAATGATATCTCATTTAACTGTCCTCATGTACTGAAAGAGCTAAAGTCATCTTAAACCCTTGATTTATGGTGGGCATTTAAGAGTTCTAATTCTGATGGCCCCAGTAACCGTCTGTATATTGGTCTCGTCATTCCCCTGAGTGTTCAGCGCCGACCAGATTCCCTTGTAACTCCTCCCCTTTCCCCACTGACCGTAATGATTTATCTGTGTCTCCTACCTGTTTGGTCGCTCCCAAAAAGCAAGTTGTAGCAAACAAAACACCAATAAAGTGATCTATGTTCACCTCTCAGCAATCTACTTCTCTGACGTGAGATGACAATAAGGAAAAGCTTGGAGGAAGCTCAGATGTGGTCCAAGACAAATGTTGCCAGTACCTAACACTGCCAGAGTGACTAACGACTACTGTCTGGAAGGAGCTATCAGATCTCTACTATTTTACACCATGTTAACAAAGAGACATGACATCTTTGGATATACTGAAGAGACCATGGAAAACATCATGACTAGAGAGATCAGCGATAAACCTTGTAGACAGAATATATCCAGAACACCACGACCAAGATCTGCAGAAAGACATCAGCATCTAATAATCTGACAAGACACATGATGAACCAACTAGGGGGACCACAGGATCAATAAACTGGCTACCACACTGTAAATGTGGCATCGAAGGGAACTTGTTACTGCAGTCTTAAATGTAATGGTGAATGACTTTACCTTTATAGTGCAGTATCTCTCTTGAGATTGGTTTTAACGGCTCAGTTAGCTAGACCTCCCAAGTTAGCTACTTTCCAGCGAACAAGTGGTGTTCCCAAGACTTATGTTCCCCCCCCTCTCTCTCTCTCTTGTTGTACCCTACCAGGACATCACACAAAGCGATAAACACCCGGTGATGAGGATCACCCATGCAGAGGTCCCAGAAACCCCTTGCAGCCGTTAGACCATATTTATGGCCCCCCGGCAAAATCCAGGGTGGGGCTTCAAATAACAAAAAACATTATATATGGGGATGACTAACATTTTATTAACCTAAGACTTATGTTCAGGTTTGATGACATAACTAACTTGCCATTCTGAAGAATATTAAGTTACCTAATTATAATTTATAACATTAATTCATGAGGGGTAAAGAGAGAAATATGTGGGCAGCCAATAAAAACAGTTATAAGAAAGAGAACATGGCACTATACTGGACACATACATTCTGAGAAGAGGCAAACTGAGAATGATTAAACAGGCACTGAAATGGGAAACTAGAGGACGAAGGAAAGGAGGACATACAATAGAAATCCTAAAGCAAATGTTGATGAGAGAAGCTAAAGATCCTGGACTGGATTCCACTCATGATATCAAAGTGACTGCACAGGATAAAATGGAAACATTGGCAGCAAGCCATACATGACACAGAATGGCACAATAGGGCAATGAATGAATACAAATGAATGATAAATTGCTGACCCTGAATCCTCTGCAGCGCGACTGATAGGTGGAGACACCAACAATAATTAGCAGTACAGCCACAACCATCCATGTGTAGAACAGGACCATTTTAGTCGGAGCTGTGGGCTGTCTCTTCTTTGTGGCCACTTCATCCTGGAGATTCTTCAGTTCGTCAAAATCATCCTCAGTGCCATCACCAAAGTCTGGAAGAAAGAAATATGGATTAGAGTCATAAATGTGACAATGCTATGAAGTCTTACCTGTAGTGAAAGTTAAAGCAAATTTAACATATTTACACACACATGGTAGTGACTACAACAACAACAAAAACATGTGAAAGCACAACAACATGTGTCCAGCATTACGTCTGCCAAAACATCAGACATTATTGTTGTCCTTTTACAGTTTCTTTCTTCTTAGCCTCACCTTCTGTATTTCATTGTTTTTTTTCATAAGTAAATTTTCTATTCACCTGGACCTTGTAATACTTGATTGTATCCCTGTTAGCGTGGAAGAGCGCCCCCCCCCCCCCCCCCCCCCCATTGTGGGTTTTTGAAGACACAACATCTTTGGAAAGTGGCCAGTATGCAGATGAGACCACTCAGCCCCTGTGCTTGCTCATAATCACATAAAAAAGGTTTATGTTTGCACAAAGTATTGGAAGCAGGAAAAGTTCAAAGGGGGTGGGGGGGAGCAAGGCATTTGGTTTCCTTTCAAATTTCTCTATTTATGAATACCATAAGGGTATAAAGCAATGCAACTTGCAGTAAAAGCTCTGGTACTGGTCACAACTGCAAAGCATGTCAACATGGTGGGTATGATTGTATTTACTAAAATAAAACAGGTATTATTTGGGATGAGAAGATAGCTTTAACGGTATTTGCCATGTTATACAGACTTCATATGGTTGTATCAATTACAAAAACATTTTTTTTATATTGTCGAAGGTAGTGAAAGTAGTTAATTCTTTGCTCTGTTTGTATTTTATGATTACTTTTTTCAACGAAAAGTATACCTTCTATGAAAAAGGGACTCAAAATAAAAACAACTGTTTTTGTTTGTGACGTGACGGCCACAATGGCCATCACGCTTGCCTGTCTGCTTAGTGGTCGTAAGTCTGACCATCTTGGGCTTCTATAAGAACGAAAATTACCAATACCAAGTTTCTTCCACTTCTTCTTCTCTGCCTCGGAACAACTCACAAAGTAAGCAACGGGTAAAATTTGTTGTGCTGCTGGACGCTCACTAAACGTGACACAGCTGCAAATAGGACATGCCCTATGACACAACCAGGCATGAATGGCAATGGAAGTCACTCTTTTTGTGGGCCTGACTTCGTGAGTTGCACCTCTACCTCTAGTTTCTTATGGCTAGGTTTCAGAGAAGTATTACAGTACATTTGTCTTCAACAAAATTTATATAGGCAATATGGTTTTCACTGTTTCATATCATTTATGGCAACAGCAGGCAGAATCACTGGTGATGACAATACAGCTGTATTCACAATCAGTACAACGGAAACTATCAGAAGTCTCAATTTGACAGAAGCAGTGGAAGAGCAAAGGGTCTGCTTTAAGTGATCTGGTGTATTTTGCAGATAATAATCAAGCATGTAAGAAGATGGAGTAAAGAACCCTTTACCCCTTACACATTTTGGTACAGAACCACACGTATATTTTTTTGACCAATCAGCATAGACGATTGATCCCTGTGTGGGTTCCAGGGCCCCACTGAGGGGAATACAAGAAGAGACCCACCGCCTCCCCAACAAGCATGTTGTAATAGTCGACTAATTGGGGGCTTCCTTTCGAAGTCGGAGTGCATCTGTCTAAGAGGCAAGGAACTAACAGTCTGCAAGCAAATAAGTCAGATCTGTTAAACGGATGTGCACACAACACTCAGGTTCTGGAGCAAGTCTAAAATCCAGATGTGGATGAAGAACCAGAATTTTCTGCGAGTTTACAGCCAGTGAACGTGACGAAGATGAGACATCCTTCTCTACTTCCCAGAATATTTCCTGTTTAAGATTTTGAGGCTGGTTTGACCTGGCAGCCAAGATCAATTCTGAAGAAAAAAATCGACCTCGATGCAGACCTGAATGTTTGCTTGCTTGTCTTATTAGGAATTGCGTGAATACCAATACATTTTACACGTTTCACTAGTTACTAGTAATATTGTAGACGTTTCACTAGTATAATGCAAGTATCTAATTTGTATTAGTGACACAAAGTTATTTATAACACTGATGTCAGACCTGATTCGTTATCATCCTCCCCATGTTCTGACCATTTCGTCACATCATATTCCTCATCATCATCATCATCATCCTCATTATCATGTTCTCCAAGGACAATATCATCATCACCATCCTCTGTGTATTCTTCACTGCCATCCTTGAGACCTTCATTGTCTCTATAATCTGTTCAAACACACAACAGCATTACAATTGTTTTCTTACAATTAATCACATTTTTTTTTTAAGTAAGAACAATTTAATAGCCACACCCTCATGCGTTACCAGAGCCCTCAGTGAGAGCAAAGAACAGTAACACAGCAAGAGGAGACTGCGGGTAGGACTGGGCTTGGGAGTTAGCTACCTCATTCAGCAAAATAAAACAATAGTCACAAAAACTAAAACCACCATGGAAAAGTCAAAAAGAGAAACACCCAGCAAATCACGACAAAAGAGGGCTCTTCTAATAAAAGAATGATGATGCGGTGGGGGGAAGCTGACAGGAGTCCAAAACTTTGAAGTACCTCCTTTCACCTAGAAAAATCTCCAGAATTGGCACCTGGAAACATAAATCAAGTCTGATTTAAAAAAAAACACACACAGAGAAGGAAGGTAGAGAATGACATTAAAAAAATAGAGAGGACATGGAGTGAGCTGCACGTAATAGCAAAGGATAAGACAAATTTGTGTGAGTTAGTTCAGGGCCTGTGTTCTATTTTGGGGATTAGAGCAGAAGAATACAGAAAGAAGAAAAGCATCCACCCAAAAATCCAGGAAAATATATTAAAGTTTGAAGACATCAACTACTATTTTAACATTTTTAACATTTTCAACATATTCTTTTTTTTTTCTTTCTCTTCAGCTGTCAAAAATGAGGTGATTGTAAGTTTAGCATACATTGGGAAATAAATTACTGCAGCATAAACTATGATTAGTAAGCTCAATGAAAGGAAACGTTCAGCACATGCACAACGGAAAGCTTTGACCTTTCTTTATCAATGTATTTGAAAAACAAGAATCTTTAGCTATAATTTTAGAACAGAAAGTCAAATATGGGAAGAAACAGAACAGAAACAAGAAAAACAATGACTATTATTTTCCCCATTTCCGTTACAAATCTTTCCCTATACAACCTTTCATTCATCATTATGGTATAGGATTTGTATTTTTCTGGTTGGCAATTTGATTTGATAATTACTTTGGTTATAGGTTATATTGTCTGCCTGCGTCTGTCCATGGATTAACCTCTTTTGTCCTGCAGTATCTCAGTCCAGTTTTTTTTTTCTGTTAATTCATTTGACTTCTATCTGAAATGATTTTTTGACTTTAAAAACTATTGTCTTTATTGCTGGCATTTTAAACTGTTTAAGGCAGGTAGAACAGGGTGTCCTGTGCTCAAGGATTTACAGCTGCATGGCTAGTTCAGCCACCATAAACGATGCAGGTTAGAGCTGATTAAGTAACTTCTATGAACACAAAGAGTCTGTATTTAACTCTTCTAGTCACAGGAAAGTTTTGCTTCACATGTTTATATCTTCATCGGTTGTTACTTTAATAATCAATGTTTTGGCCTGACAATTTTAAAATTATATCATCATGATGCAGCAAGAGTCAAACTGTCATGTGCGACAGACAGGATTAGTATAGCTCTTGAATAAGCACACAGAATTCAGAAAAGTACATTATGTCAGTACAGATTAACAGGTGCACATCTATTTACTCAGTACTCAAACAGTGAACAGTTACGCCTGTCTGGAAAAAAAAATGTTAACTTAGGAAAAAAATAATTAATGTTTAAAGACAAAACTGACAGAGTATATTTCAAACCAAACTGAAACTTGTGGATATGGTGCAACAGGAAGAAAGGAATTCATTCTGTGCACTTACAAAACATGAATTTACTAGGATACTTCTCCAGTGTAATGGAATGACCAAAATCTATTAGTAACTTGCAGAGTTTATTGTTGGGTGTGTACAATGCAAAGTTACAGTAGCCAGATGCCTGCTGGGTTAAAGGTCTTGGGTATCAACTGCAATCAGGCAAACGTTTTAAATAACTGACCTAGGCTTTCAGGTTGACCTAGCCTAAATTGGGTATCAGTAAAGGTCAAACTTTTTAAAAGTTTACACTCATCAAGTGCTGACTGGTTTATCAAATATGAGTCCAGCACCATATGCCTGAGGTGCCAATGGCAGAAACAGAACATCTGGTACTTTCTTATTAGCCGAACCACAAACAGGAGAAATCCACAGGTAAGGAGACGGTCAAATATTTCAGGGGGTGGTAGATTAAACGTATATTTTTTATTAGGGCTAGGGTTGACGTTAGGGCAAGAATTAGTGTTAGGTAAACACACAAAAACCTTGCCCATGGAAGAAATTTGTTAAAGCACAGTAACCATGAAAACCCGCTCTTACTGCCCTCTCAAATACTGGATTGTCACGTGATGTCATTTGTGGTCTGCTAAAAAAGAAAGCACTGAACATTTTATTTGCCATGTCAATATGACTACAGTTATCTAGCTGATAGGTTTAATTTCAGAAGAATTTTACAATGTGTGTTTTGACATCAATGCAGAGTTTTTAGGTGGCAATACTAACAGTAAAAAAGGTGCCTCCTTTGAGTATTTTATGACTTGCCAGTCTTCAAATCAGTGATTTTGAACCTTTCTACATCAGTGAACTGGGAAAATTTGAGACATTTTTCACTGACCTGCTGGCAACCACGACAAAAGCTGAAGCAAAGTAGATAGTGTTTAAATTATATAGATACCATGTAATAAAATTACAGTTTCCAGCCAATGCAACATCTGCTGCCTAGAGGTTATGAAATTGGCGCTATATGTAGTATACATGGCTGCCATATAGTTTCTGATAGAAGATGAAGTGATGCAATAACATCAATTCCATTTTACTGTCCGGTTTACTCTGCAGATGCTATATGATTGAGAACTGCCAGGAAATTTATGT